ACACACACACACACACACACACACACACACACACACACACACACTCTTCAGGCCTCTGTGAATACCTAAACATAACATGGTATACACACCCTTCCCCCCTATACACACCCTCTTCTGGCCTCTGTGAACACCTGAACATACATGGTATATACCTACACACATGTATGCACATACATATTAAAATTTTTTAATAATCTAGAGACTTAGAATTAATAAATATCACAAAAAGAAAAATAACCAGATATTCAGTATTAGAATTAGACTAAGTGTGTATGTCTCTGGTTTTGAAAAATAAGTCTAGGGGATAGATAAACGTTGCAAATAGTGCTAGGTATGAAATTGAAAAAAAAAAATACACCCTTGGAAAAAATATAGAACAAACACCACAGGATAAGTAATTCAGTTTCTTCAGCAAATAAATTGCAAGCATTTTGAGTGATAAAAGAGGAACCTGTATATTAGAGAAACTAATATATTGACTAATTGTCATGTTCATATTCTTTTTAAGTGTATTTATTTATGTGTATGGCTGTTTTGCTTCCATGCATGTCAGTGTTCCATGAGAATAGGGCATTGGAATTTTCTGGACCTGGAGTTACAGAATGTTGTAGGTGCTTGCTATTGAGTCTGGGGCCTCTGGAAGATCGGCTAGTACGCTTAACCAATGAGCCATATCTCCAGCCCCTGTTCCTTTTAAAAACAAGTCAACTATAGGAAGATATCTGAAAGTTAAATGTTAATTCTGTAGACCCCATTTTTCAGACAGATCCCAACTCTTGAGTCCATAGTTGGTCAAAAACTCTAAATCCCAAATGCCGGTATTATAGACATGTGCCACCACACCCAGCAAACTGATGTCTTAATGTCTTCAAATGTTTTGCTGGTATTAATGTTTAACTTTCAAATACTCAACAATGGTATTGTGATTGTTTTGGAGTTTTAAAAATCATATACTTAAATATGAATAAAATGATAAAATATCTTGTAGTTGTTGAAGCCAGGTGATAGTTAATCTTGCCGTTTGCAGTTACGTTTGTCAAGTAAAGGACATTTCTGTTCATTTGTTTTGTTTTGCTTTTTACCCTAGGGAAAGCTATGAAAAAGTGGGTAGAGTCCATTGCTAAAATCATCAAGAGGAAGAAGCAAGCTCAAGCAAATGGGATAAGCCATAATATTACCTTTGAAAGCCCACCTCCACCAATTGAATGGCATATAAGTAGACCAGGACAGTTTGAAACATTTGACCTTATGACACTTCATCCGATAGAGATTGCACGGCAGTTAACACTTTTGGAGTCTGATCTCTACAGGTTGATAGTTTTAATTTCTTTATATTTAAAGAACTCTGGATATACTTTCTACCTGCTTTCAGAATATTTTGCAAATTATTCATGAATGTTTAAGAATAACTGTGAGGCAACACGGTGAGAGGACTGAGACCCTCCAAGTTGTCCTCTGACCTCCTCCCATGTGCTGGAACACGCACACTCTAGATAATTGTGTGTGTGTGCGCGCGCGCGCGCTTATTTGTTCTTCTGGGTGGGTGTTTTTGTTTTACTGTGTAGTGGCTGAGTAAGCCTAATTAGAGACAGCAGTCCCTAATGACAAGAAAATGAATACTTCCAGAGAATAGCAGCTGTTTCCAAGGCAGTATTCCTGTCCTACTCCTCATACTTTCTAGATTACTTTCATCTGAGGATAGTACAGGCAGTCGGTATGGATGTGAGGTTCTTGGCAGATAAATGAATGAGAGACAAGTCTTTTTCCCTTTCACTTAGAACCCAGGCTCCAGTGACTACTGTAGACCATGTAGGTAACCACTCTATTGACAAATAAGCCCCTGCCATGATTCTATGAAAACCTTTCTGAATCCAGAAGTCCTCTTTTGTATCCTAGCGGGGTGTGGTGCTATAAGTCTGTCATCCCAGAAGTCATGAGGTAGAGGGCAGGAGGATCAAGAGTTCAAGGCCAGTTTCAGCTTCATAGAGCAACTTTAGGGCTGACTTGAGCTATATGAAGCCTGGTCTGAAAAAAAAAAAATAAATGAAAAAGTACAAATATCCTGAAGAAGTTATCTTCATCGGGAGATTTTTTTTAATTAATTAATTATTTGTAATGGGTAGTTTGCCTTTGTGAATGTTGCCTCTGGGAGTCACAGACACTTGTGAGCCATCACATAGCTGCTACAAATTGAACCAAGGTCCTCTGGAAAAACAGCCAGTTTTAACTGCTGAGCCATCTCTCCAGCCCAGCAGTCTTGTTTTTTTGTTGCTTGTTTTTTAACGCTTGCACAGGGAAAAACAAGGCTATATAAAGGTCAATGCTCTGGAGATACAGGAAAGAATCAGAGATAAACTCTCATTAGAATTGTGTCTGTGGTTGGCACTGGCTGTGCTATTCAGAATCTGACCTTTAACACGCCACCGAGTGTTTATAAACAGCTCATTAAGAAGGTCATGCTATTTTAAGTGATGTGGAATTACTTAATGTGGAAGGTAGTCTTCAAAATAGGTATGCATTGTGATTTGTGACAGGTAGACAGGAACGTGTTAAATGAGGCAACAGTGTATTGTACTGAGTAAAGTTGTCTCATGAATGAATGTGATATCAGTTAAAAAGTAACACGGGTGTCATTTTTTAAAGCATATAGTTCCATGTAGACATGCTTTTGTGGCATAGACATGTACTTCTTGTTATGTGGTTTGTTTGATAGAAGAATGGTAACATACAGACATTCGTATTGTATGTAAATTTCTAGTGAAATAGTAGTTCTAAGTAAGAAAATGTATTCTAAAAAGCCAGGCATAGTGGCACATACCTGCAATCCCAACCCTTGGGAGGCTGGAGGGAAAAAAGTAAGAATTGAAGGCTCTATTCTGATACAAAGAGAACACAAGGCCAGTGTGGACTGCATGAGTGTCTGTGTAAGAGAGCAATGTCAGCGCTCTGACAGAGCTGTTAGCAAGTATTCATTTCTTTTCAAGACTAGGACACTGATGGCAGCGACATTGGCTAGTTTTTAAGTTATAGAATCCTGACTCATTAATGAGTTAATCTCTTCTGGTTTTTATTTTAAGCATTCTAAAATATAGATAATAATCACTGTCCATGGACAGTAAGAAACATCAGAAAAGATTGAAACTCTTACAAGTCTCCCTAATTACTGTTCTTCATTACCCCCTAGAAATTACCGTAACCCAGAGCTTGATGTTTACTCTTCCTCTGATTGTCTTTTAATTTAGCTTTCTGTGTGCACAGCCCTAAGTAATACAAAGTATTAACTGTAGACCTTAAAGCCACATATATTTATGATGCCAGTTGTACCAAGTTTTTTATTTAGATTGTTTTCGATATTTGTTCAAGCTGATGTCTAGTTCAATTTATTTATTTTAGCCACTGTATAAATTCCATTATGATGATTCTAGTTCTAAGGTTTTTTCTCCTGAGTGATAAAACATTTTTCCATGTTTATGCTGATTGGGTCTGTTTCTACATGAATGAACTAACTTGCTCGTGTATATTCAGTTTATGTTGGAAGTGTTTAGATAATTCTGATACTAATCTTTGTATGGTGAGCTGTATTGATTGTTGTTCTTCAGGAAAGTCCAGCCTTCTGAACTGGTAGGAAGTGTCTGGACCAAAGAAGATAAAGAAATAAACTCTCCAAATTTATTAAAAATGATTCGCCATACAACAAACCTCACTCTCTGGTTTGAAAAGTAAGTTTTCATTTACTTAGTAGTCATAATGTTTAGTCAAATTTAAGCTAAAACTCTGGCTTTATAAAGAAGTTTCTTGTTTTCTAAATGAAGTGAAGAAACTCTTCTAAGCCATGAATATTTTATTTTTAGATGCATTGTGGAAGCAGAAAATTTTGAAGAACGGGTGGCAGTGCTCAGTAGAATAGTAGAAATTCTGCAAGTGTTTCAGGATTTGAATAATTTCAATGGTGTGTTGGAGATAGTCAGTGCGGTCAATTCAGTATCGGTATACAGACTGGACCACACATTTGAGGTAAGTTTTAGCTTGAATATTTCTTCTTTTCAGACAGCAGATGAAATTAACAGAAGAAATTACTTTTACCTACTTTTAAGCGGTTTTTTGTTTTTGTTTTTGTTTTTTTTTTAAATCTGTCCTTTCAGCCTGTCACGGTGGTACACACCTGTAATCCCAGCACTTGGGGAGACAGAGGCAGGTGGATCTTTGTGAGTTCAAGGCCAGCCTGGTCTACAAAGTGAGTCCAGGACAGCCAAGGCTACACAGAGAAACCCTGTCTCGAAAAACAAAAAAATAAAATAAAAGTCTGTCCTATCCCCTTAAATACAGAGGTATAATTATTAACGTACTCATGTAACAGGATATATACTGGTAAGTGTAGATTTGTTTTCAGTGACACATTGATAGTCTCATAAATGGCAAAGAATTTAAGTATATATTTAATATATAAGTGATTTCTTACTTACTTTTAATGTGTAGTCAAAGAGATAACCCTTTCTGAAACCTAAAATTATTTTATTTTAAATTATAGATTGTTTTATTTTAAATTGTGAAGTAATAGTTAATATTTCTTTTATAAATCTTGGGAGATACAGAAGTACACGGATTTTTTATCTTTTAAATTAAAAGGGAACATCATAATGTATATAGATACCTATGACATGCATCTTATTTTTATAAACATTGTTCTGTTTATTGGTTTGTCTCAACAAGGTTTTTTTTTTTCCAGTGGCTACATAGTTTTCTGTCTTATGGATGAATTACAATTTAGCTTGTTATTCTATTGGGAACAATTAAGTTATTTCTGATTTTTGTTTGGATATATAATTTATCATGGACCATTAATTAATTAATATGTTTGTTCATTCACTTGTTTTAATGTCTCTATGAAACCCAAATTATTTCCCTAGAATCAGTTTATAGAGACAAAAGTCCTGGGTCAGAGTTTTTTTTGGTTTTTCAGATTTTTGATACTTTTGCCAAGGAGTTTTGCCTTGAACATTACTATATTAAATTTTTATAGATTTCATGGGCCAATAAAAAAAGTTGAAAATTTTTATCATATTAAAAAAAACCTGAGGTTATTATTTTAATGTATTTATTAGCCACTTTCATTTTTTCTTTATGATTTATCTGGTCATGTCCTCTCATATTTCCTTGTATTTGTAATTTATTTATATCTGTGAACGTTTTAGTATGTTAGACATTAAAACAAACTAGCTATGGACCCCAAGTTTCTATATCGAGCGAACTCTCCTCACTATGGGTTTTCACACTTAAAAATGTTTCTCCCAAGTGAGGTGAAGGTAGGAGCTCAGGTGTATTATCAAAATGTTGCCTTTAGAAACATGGGCTCTTATCGTCTCTGAAAACCAGTCTAGCATTATATGTTAAAAGTGAAACCAGACAGCCATTAGATCAGAACCATAGAGAACAAATACTCTTTTCAAATACTGCCGACCGGTAGGTCACCTGGATGCAAACATGGTGACTCTGGCATTGCCGCAGTGGCAGGCAGCTGGAGGCCCCGGGGTTCTCTCAGCTGGATGGTTCACTGTGTTGTGCTGCACCTGTAGGGGGGTGGATATTCAGCTGAAGATGAAAATTGAATAGGGTCTTTGCATATTCCCCTGGGACAATATTTGTATTGGGTGGGGGGGGGGGGGGGAGAGACATAAGAAAACTTCAGAATGACTAATTTCATTTTTATATAACAAACCTAAGCCTTGCAGGGATCTGTCTGTTCACGGTCCCTGCCTCTCCAGCACTGAGATTACAAGCAAGGGCCATAGCACCCCGCTTTTTATGTGCCTGCTGGCCTCAAACTCAGGTCCTCATCCTTCATAGCAAGGACTGTACTGGCTCAGACATCCCTCAGGCCTAATTGTGCTTTGTGATGTTCAGTGTAGCAGATCCCACGGTCCTAGTCTAATGTTTTGTCTTTTATTAAATCTTTATTGACCCTCAAGGCCCAAAGCAGGAAGAGTAAGAGTTAAAGGCAAGCCTTCAGTATATTAAAAAAAAGAAAGAAAGAAAAAAAAAAAAAGGAAGATCTTTAATTTTGTTGGAAATCCATTTTGCATATGGGGTGAGCTTGGGCTCTGATTTTACTTTTTGTTCTATATGGCTGCTCAGTTGCTCTCATACATTTATTCAAAGTTCATTTTTTTTTTCCCACATTGACCTGTTGAGCCTTCTGTATCATAAATTGGGTGTATATCTATGGGTTTGTTTCTAATCTATTTTTAACCTATATTTTTCCTATGCTGCATATCTAAAATATTTAAAGTAAAATATCTAAAATGCTTTAGAATCAGCCTAAGTTTAACTTTAAAAAAAAAAAAGAAATCTGAAGTTTACTAGGAGTTGTATTTAGCTTTGTAAGTCACTGTAAAAGAGTGACAGTTTTATAGTTATGAGCCCTCCTAACCTACACCAGGAATGTGGTGTATCTCTGTTTATGATTTCATGACAGATACCTTCACTCTATTGTTATCTATATTGGAATCTTTTAAAATTATTACTTCCTTTTTGGTGAAAAATTTTTATATCTAGAAATACAGTTGAGTTTTGTTTGGCTTTTATGTATAGCAAGATTGCTAAATTTTCCTGTTAACACTCTACATATACATTTGGGGCTCTTTCCCCCAGGGACAGTCAGTTACAACCTTTGGGAATAGTGATGGTGTTCCCTGATCCTTTCCGCCCCTTGTCCATGTTGTCTGGGAGTTCTGTAGAGTATTAAATAAAGCTGCTAAGCAGCCACATGTCATGTGATGTGGGTCTCAAGTGACATGTTTCCTGTGGGTCTGTGTGTATTTGGGCTTATGCTCAGTGGATTATAAACTAATTTATGTCCAGTGAGAAAAATACAGTAGTGAGATAAAAAAGAAATGCCTATCTTTACTTCATTCGCTAATTTCTTCTAGTTTTCTTACCTTCCTACATTTGTTTACTGCTAAGATTTACCCTCAACATCAAAAAAACCTTTTAAAGAACAGTTAGTCCTGAAGGATTGTAGTTCTTTGTGACACTGTAATTTATACCTAGATGATTAAAATGATCAAAATAAGGTCCTGAGGGAGAACTTTTAAAACTTGTAAGTCTTCTAATTTATAGAAGAAAGAACCCAGATTCTTAGTTTTCATATTTATACATAAAAAAATAGAAAAAATCATTTTTTGCAAATGTCCAAAAGAATAAGACTACTCAGAATTTTTTTTTTTTTTTTTTTTTGAGACAGGGTTTCTCTGTGTAGCTTTGGCTGCCCTGGACTCTCATTGTAGACCAGGCTGGCCTTGGACTCAGAGAGATCTACCTACCTCTGCCTCCCAAGTGCTGAGATTACAGATGTGCGCCACCACGCCCAGCAAGACTCAGAATTTTTTCAATCATTTTAAGTATTTGTCAAATTCTATAAATTCTATGGTTCTGTATTCTTATGGATCTTAAATATGATTGGATTATATGCAAAGTTTATATTAATATTCTATGTTTTAAAGGCATTGCAGGAGAGGAAGCGGAGAATTCTGGACGATGCTGTGGAGTTAAGTCAGGATCACTTTAAAAAATATCTACTAAAACTTAAATCCATCAATCCACCTTGTGTGCCTTTTTTTGGTAAGTTCTAAAATAAGAATATATTTTTAAGATGAATGTGTTGTAACCAAAAACAAAACAACAACAACAACAAAAAAAAAAACAGGGTCTTTCTAGATAGATTGTCCTTTTGTAATCATGTCCATAAATACATACAAATTTATTATTTATCTGTATTGTTAAAAAAAGGTAAAAAGTATTTCCTTGCCTATATAATGAAGATCAAGATAACTGCATCTTTAAATTGTTGTAAGAATTTAAAATACTTTATCTGTACTACTTGACACAGTCTTGTAAAGACTCTGATGAAGTTCAGCTATTTTTATTTATCTATGTCACATCTGCAATGCTTGTTAATTATTATTATAAAAGTGCTTTTACAGAGTCTTTATAAAGATTTTTTAAATTTTCTAAGCATTTTTATTTATTTATTATGTATACACTGCTGCATGTACACCTGCACACCAGAAGAGGGCGCCAGATCTTGTTATAGATGATTGTGAGCCACCGTGTGTGGTTGTGGGAATTGAACTCGGGACCTCTGAAAAGGAAACCAGTACTCTTAACCTCTGAGCCATCTCTCTAGTTCCTTTATAAAGATTTTTTTTTAAACTCAGAATTACATTAATATAAATTACATTGAGCAGAGATTTTTAATGTGACTTAAGTATAATTATGCATAATAGTAAATACACATTCTGAAAAAAGCTTCATTAGGTGTTTTATGTAGACAACATAGAGCACACTATACACACCTAAGGGGAACAAGCCAGTCAGTTAATATGATCTCTTTGGAGTTGTTTTCTTTGTTGTTATTTCTTTTAGATGAAATTTTGACTATTGAATATTTGAATGTTGGTCTCAAACTCCTGGACTCAAAGTTATGCCTCGGTGTCCCAAATAGTACCATTGTGCCACACCCTTGAGGTAGCCTTGAGACACGATAAATGTGAGGTATTTGAGCTGGTGTCATCGTAACACAGCACTCTGCTCTACAGAAAATTTTTTTCTTATAAGTAAAATTACACCCTAAAATTATGACAAAACTATCATATGACAAATGCATAAGCCATAAGGTAACTTTTTGTTACCCGCTTGCTGTAGTTGTATGTATTTTTTAATAGGGTGGGTCAGCAGCAGTCTGTGTGTCTATACTGGAGTCACCAGAAACCCCTGAGTCCTGCACCGTGCTGCACTGTTACAGCAGCTGCAGCAGTCTCCTCAGCTCCCCCTCATTTGGGGGATAGGGTTCTGGCAGTTGAGCATATACGATAGTCTTGATCTACAGCGCGGCCCTTTATTGTAATTTCATGGGACCACTGTTGTCTATTTTGTCCATGGTTCAAACATAATCATGTGGCACGCGACTGGCTTCACTAATGGAATTGGACTATTATTTAAGTCAAGGTTGTTGTTGTTTTGTTTTTAACCATAGCACTGTTGATTGAAGTTGAGAGGAAAAAGTTATTTGTTGTGAAGGGTTGATAATCACATTGTAGGATATTTAGCAATCTCCTGGCCTCCTGTTCACTAGAGACCAGTAGTACCCCAAACTTGTAATTACCAGAAATGTTTAAAGATATCCCTAACTATCCTTTCTATGACAAAATTGCCTTTAGCCAAGAACCACTAGTTTAAGTGAATTAGTAATTATACATAAAAAGGGATTAGAACCTTTTTTTTTTTTTTTCTAAGTGATAAGCTCAAAGAAGCAGTTGGTCTTACAGTTTTTTGGTTTTGTTTGTTTTTGATCTTATGGTTCTTAAGCAAAATTGCTTAATTTGTTGATAGTCACTTGCATTGGCATTAAATATAAAATTTATTATATATATATATTAAATATAAAATAAAGATCATTGGCATTAAATATTTTAAGTATAATCTTAAAACATTTGATGAGACTTTAAACACACAGGGTTTAGATATACTTAGCTTGCCATTTCTTAGAACAGTAGCCTTTAATTTTAGTGGAGGGTCGTCTTCATTTTCTTCATGATTTAAACTATGTCACAGATTGTTAATAGAGAATCACTTCCGTGTCTAGGAGTTTTGCCTTTTTGCTTCTCGAGGCGGGACTGCTGGGCCAGCTCCACCAGGTCAGTTGCCTTCCCAAATGATTGATTAAATGAGACCAGTCTTAAAATAACTTCAGATATTTTTTGCTAGGAATCTACTTAACAAATATTCTGAAGACTGAAGAAGGGAACAATGATTTTCTAAAGAAGAAAGGGAAAGATTTGATCAATTTCAGTAAGAGGAGGAAAGTGGCTGAAATTACTGGCGAGATTCAGCAGTATCAGAACCAGCCTTACTGCTTACGGACAGAACCCGAAATGAGGGTAAGTATTTCCTTATTTATCTTTGAAGAAGATGGTGTTACGTCCTGTGTAGTTGCCAAGAAATCTCACAGTGATGCACCTCACTCTGATTGCCCCTGAAGTAAGCTAACCTTCCGCTAGCAGTGTAAATACCACTGCACTGTACTGCTGCGCTGTGGCTGACATCCCTGCTGGGCACCTTCTCCTGGGAGGCCTGCCTCTTCGGGCAGCAGCTCAAGCAACTCTTCCAAAAAGTGAGAGAATGGAACAGCCACGCAATAAAATAAAACCCACTGCTTCTGCTATAATTGAGCGATAGCCATTTTAGATATTTCACATCTACCAACATAACACTGAATCCCTTCATGCGATTACTGTGAAGGATTTGGAGAATAGTAGGTATAATGCATCACAGAGGGTTTTTTAACATTCTGTCAGGGTTTCATTTTGAGTAATAATGTTTAATATGGATTATACTATACCACAAAATACGGGATAAATTCTAAATGAATAAATTACAATAGCATGTTCAGGTAAATGAGTTTTATTGTGTTGTACTTACTTGAGGTTGTGAACACATTGTGACTGTCAATCACTAGTCACAATGAAGAACACATTGTGACTGTCAATCACTAGCCACAATGAAACTTGCACTAAGGTTTAGACTGAAGCAGACAATATAGGAACTGCAGAGGCCATCTTTAAAGAAAATGGCGCTTAGCTGCTAGCGGTTGCCTGTTTTATCCCTTTCTTCTATCATTACGCCTGCCCTCACGGGAAAAAGGAAATATATTCTTAAAGCCCAGGTTAGAGTCTGCAAGCAATTTCCTATGGAAACAATGTTGTGCTGTAGTTGAGTACACTTGAAATAGTACTTTTCTCATTTGTGTTTCAGAAACATCAGCTACCATGTTTCTGTGATCTTCTCTGTGCTTCTTGCCACCATTCAGAGCAAATCTACCTTCCTTAGAACTGAGTCAAAGTAAATTTAAAGTTAAACAGGCCCAGGCATGGTGGCTTATGTGCATAATCCCAACAGTTAAGAGGTAAAACTAGAGGATCAGGAGTTCAAGGCCATCCCCAGATAGATAGATAGATAGATAGATAGATAGATAGATAGATAGATAGATAGATAGATAATAGATAGAGGCTGTTCTAGGCAACATAAGACCCAGTCTCTAAATTGGTGGATGGATGGATGGATGGATGGATGGATGGATAGATAGATAGATAAAATAGCCATTCCTTTTTCAAACCATAGTTAACCAGTTTAAATAATATTGGAAAATAAAGCAAACATTGGGAAAATGAAGAGTACATCTGTTACAGCTTTTTATAAAGGATAAAATTACTGTTGCCTGATAGCATCTTAATTTAGCAAAGTGGAATTCAAGAAGAAATTATATGTTAATAGTATAATTTTCTGACATTTGTAGAAGGCCTGAAAATTAAAAAATCTCATTTTACCTACTGTTAAAGTTAAAACCCAGTGTCTGCTTTTGTATGTGTTCCTAAACCCCATAAAATTCAATAAAGCTAGCCAGCTGGGCACATGCATGTGATCCCAGCACTTGGAAAGCTGAGGCAAGAAGGAGAATCACAAGTTCAAAGGAGCCTGGGGTTTTTTGAGACCCTGTCCCATAAAGAAATTAAATTAAGCTAAATCCAATAATTGGATTCTGGTGTTTATGTTTTTTTTTTTTTTTAAGAAAGCATAAGAAATGTATAGAAAAGTTTGTGTACAAAGAAGTTTATCATTATTAGCATAACAGTGAGTCAGAAAATACCAGTGTGGGTGAATGTATAGGTTAGTGAAATCAGTCCTAGGACATGCTAGATGAGTAACAGCATTAGCATTAGTGTGTTCACGCAGATAATAAAGTTCAGAAGATGGTGAAGTCCCAAATCATTTTATCATTTGTAGTTTTAAAAACTGAGGTGCAGAGCTAGAGAGATGACTCAGGATTTAAGAGCATACACTGCTCTTCCAGAGGACCAGAGTTCAATTCCCAGCACCCGCATTAGGTGGCTCATATTGTCTGGTAACTCCAGCTCCAGGGGAGCCATGGCACCAGCACTCATGTGTGCCCACACACATGAGCGCATGCACACACAGACACACACACACAAACTGGTTTTTTGCATTTTACTAAATCATCTCAATTTTCTACTTAAAACACTTATATTTAAGCTTAGAATATATACTTGTAGTAATTTTTTTTGTATAAACACAGTTTTTTGGCCTTGGAGGGTAAACAGAAAAATGTAAAGCTATAATTGTTTTGTCAATTAGTTTTGAATATACCTTAATCCAATTCACTGCACTTTTTTGCTTATGTACAACATACTGTGCTTTTCAGCCATAATCGTCACTGTACAGTCTTGCTGCAAATCCAGAGCAGAAGGAGCAACCTCTTTGACCGTCTCAAATACTGTGGTGTCTTGTTTTAGTGTTAACATGTTCAGGATCTGATTTTAGTAAGACCTAAGGTGCATACATATATTTATGTGTTTAATTTCAGAGATTCTTTGAAAACCTCAACCCCATGGGGATTTTATCTGAAAAGGAGTTTACAGATTATTTGTTCAACAAGTCACTAGAAATTGAACCCCGAAACTGCAAACAACCACCTCGATTCGTAAGTCCATTGTAATCATGGAAGGTTTTTATGTTCTTAAAAATACTTTTAGTATTTAACAATCTCTTCTCTTAAAATTGCTATATAACCAATAGCTTTTTTTTTTTTTTTTACTCCACAGTACTATTCTATTTCCAAAATTATGTACGCAGGGTTGGGGTGGGGCACAGAGATAATGAGTGCTTACTTAGCATGCACAAGACCCTGTGTTCACTCCCTAACATCACAGAAAAGAAAATAATAATACTTAACAGAAAATGCCAACTTTTTTTTTTTTTTTTGAGACAGGGTTTCACTGACTGTCCTGGACTTACTCTATAGACCAGGCTAGCCTTAATCTCAGAGATCCACCTGCCTCTGTTTCCTGAGTGCTGGGATCAAAGGTGTGGACCACCACTTCCCGGCTTCAGGTGTCAGCCTTTTGATAGAAACTGATAAAAAAAAAAAAAAAAAAAGTACTGGGTGTAAAAACTAGATCCACATACATACTAAATATCCTTCATCTTAGTATTATTTACTTACCTGTCCATTTTTGTACCTCCTGATGTAAGAGGAAAAGTATAATAAGTGAGGCCCCAAAGCAAGTATCTGTATGGAACAAACGAAGAGGCCAGAGAAGGAACTCAGGGCTGCACTGTGGGGCGCCTCTGGCACCACTGTGGCCCCTGCCGTTGGTTCTGCAGTGACACAGGAGAGCTCCCTCTCACTGGAATTTGCTGCAGTTCATAGGTGTTCTGGAGATTTTCAGTGACAGCAGCAAGAGTGGAAAACCAACCTAAGTATCCAAAAGTAAAACTAGGTGAGGGAACAAATAAAAACCATCAGAACAGAGCTGTCTGTGATAAAACAGTGAACTAGGTGGTTTTGTGTCATCCCGTCCTCATGATAGTTGTATGAAACAGATTGTTTCCAGTGCTAGGGATCGAACCCAGGACATGTATGTTAGTAGGCAAGTGCTTTTCCACCTGAGCTACACTGCATCCGGCTGTGACATAAATCATTTCATCATTTATAGTGTAAAAACTGAGGCGCAGGGCTGGAGAGAGGGCCAGAGGTCAACTCCCAGCACCTACCTCAAGCAGCTGGCGTCTTCATGTAACTCCAGCTCCAGCAGATCCACGGACACCTGAATTCATACGTGTACACACACTCCTAAGTAAGTGTAATAAGAAATGAATATTTTTAGTAACTGAGGCTCAGCAGAGTAAGATAGTTTCCAGATGATGGAGCTGAGTGTTCCTCAGGTTTTTTGATTCAGAATCCTCTTCTTTCATTGGGTTATCACTCTTCGGGTATTTTTAGCATAGTAGAGCAGGAAGAACAGTAGCACTTTTTATGAAGTCATTAAAGACTAGTGTAGGGATTGTTCATTTGCTTAAGGTCCGGAGAAAAATTCTTCTAAAAGATGAAGCACATGTAACATCATGTTACATAAATTCTGTTCCCAGGAAACGTTTGTGAAATTAATATATGGGTGGTGTAAAAGGGAAATTTAGGATTGAGTAGTTAGGAGCAAAAAAGTTGCTTACACCATTATTTTTAAGAATTTTATCTCTAAAATTATATTTAAAAAAGTTTACTTATCAAGTGCATGATAATCTAATCAAGTCTGGAAATTACTTCCAAAATCCCACAGACTGCCCTTGAAGATAGTGATTTTTATCACACTCTTTAAACAGTGTGCTTTAAACCAGGGCAAGGTGGTGCACGCTTTTAATTTCAGCACTCAGGAGGCAGAGGCAGATGGATCACAGTGAGTTTGAGGCCAGGCTGTTCTACAAAGAGAGCACCAGGAAAGCCAAGGCTGTTAACACAGAGAAACCCTGTCTTGAGAAAACAAAATAACAAAAGAATGCACTTAAAAATAAACAAATTACCTGCGTGCTAGTGCTATTTTAACTGTAGTTATTTACTTTTCCCAGCCTAGGAAATCAACCTTTTCTTTAAAATCTCCTGGAATAAGGCCCAATGCTGGCCGCCATGGCTCTACCTCAGGCACTTTAAGAGGGCACCCGACGCCTCTGGAAAGAGAACCATATAAGATAAGCTTTAGCAGGATCGCTGAGACGGAGCTTGAATCAACAGTGTCAGCACCAACGTCTCCCAACACACCGTCCACCCCACCCGTGTCTGCTTCTTCAGACCACAGTGTGTTTCTAGATGTGGACCTCAGTAGTTCCTGTGGTAAGAATCTAACGAAACTTCTTGGTAAGAGGAGGAGTTTGTGTTTTGAATAATTGGTTTCTTCTTCCCAGTTGGAGAACTCTGGAACCTTTTGTTCCTGTGTGTTGTGGTTGGTTTGAATTGTCAGCCTGACACAATATGGAATTACCTGGGAAGAGAGTCTTCCTGAGGGATGGTCTAGGTTAGGCTGGCCTGTGAGCATGTCTGTGGGGAATTGTTTTTATGACATGAACTGAGGTGGGAAGACCTGACCTCTGCAAGTGACACCACTCCTCAAATGGGGTCCTGGGAGCTCAGGAGGCAGAGGCAGGTGAATGGATCTCTAACTTCAGAGCCAGCCTAGGCTACATAACAAGTTTCTAGCTTGCCTGGGCTACAATGGGATATACTGTCACTTAGAAAAAAGTGGGAGTGAGCTGAGCAGAAGTGTACATACACTGCTTGCTGTTCCTGACTATGGGCTATAACCTGGAACTGTGAGCTGAAATAAGCCCTTTCTCCTCTGAATTGCTATTGTCAGGATATTGCTACAGCAACAGGAAACAAAACTAAGGTACTGTGATGGTATGGAATGTGACATCTAAAAGAAAAAGTGGTACTTAATAGAAAAAGCAAAGCAGCCAGGCAGTAGTGGCGCATATCTTTGATCCCAGCACTCGGGAGGCAGAGACAGCCTGGTCTACAGAGTGAGTTCCAGGACAGCCAGGGCTACATAGAGAAACCCTGTCTCAGGGAAAAAAAAAAAAAAAAAAAAAAAAAGAACAAAGTATTATGTATGCATTGTATGTGTATGTTTTCTAATTTATTTAGTTAACAGAATGAAATGAAAAAAGATTGTGATAGAGAAGAAATCAGGCTACAGAAGAAAACATTGTAGGTACAATGAAGATGAGGCTCATGTTACAAATTAGCAGGACAGAAGGTGTGTTATCTGTATAGTGCATTTTACTTTTGTGGACACAGTGGTTGAGACAGGGTCTCTATACCTATGTACCCTAACTTTCTTACTGTATGGACAGTCTGACCTCGAACTCCCAGAGTTCCATGTGTTTTTGTCTTCTGAGTGCTAGGATTAAAGGCATGCGCTAGTGTATTTTTTTTCCCTTTAAAAAAAATTATCCATGTTAGCTTCCTATTCAAATGAATTTTTCTTTCTAATAGGCAGCAATACCATCTTTGCTCCAGTCCTCCTGCCACAGTCAAGTAAGTAAGACAGAAGTTGTTACAGTGAGATGACTATAAAGATAATAATCTGGTTTATTGAAAGTGTGTTTTATATGGGGGGGTTAACAACGTTAAAAGAATAAATGAAAGAAAAGTTTTTTCTTTTTTTTTCATCCTTCCCTCTGCCTGTTCTCCTCCCCTCCCCCCTCTACTCCCAATCCTCACCCCACCCCTTCCCAGGCTCCTCAGATGCTAGGCAATGGCAGTACTGAGCTGCATCCCCAGACTAAAAGAAAATATTATAGATAGTCTGAATCACTTGCAACTTGGTACTGCTTAAATTTTGTTAATTTTTTTAAATTATCTTAATCTATATCTTAGAGCCTGTCTGAACTTGAACAAACTACTTCCCATTTTCACACTTGTAGGGATCAAATGAAGTAACTACAGAGAACACCTAATCTATTTCTTGGCCTAGGATGTAGAGTAAATCCATCTCACTTACCTGACTTGAATCACGTCTAGTTTATTTCTTCAAAGAAATGATACAGTCAGCTCTTCATGTCTGTAGCTTACCTATTTGCAATCAACCAACACAGATTGAGAACATGGTTAGACCAACAATGGCTATGCATGTACTTGAACATGCACAGGCCTTTTGCTATTGGCATCATTCCCTAAACAATAGTTTATGTAAAGTTTACATTGTGATGGGTAAGATAAGTAAAATCTAGTGACAATGTTACAGGATATATACATACACAATACCATTTTATTTAAGAGACTAAAACATCAGTGGATGCTTAATATCCCTGTAATGTCATGGAACCAGCTGTTAGATACCAAGGGACAACTGTACTAAATATTTATCAAGTTCCCAAACTAGCCTTTCTTTATCACTTTTTTCCCCCACATCTTATTAAATCATTATTTTAAGTTAAAAAAAAAACCTATTCTACCATTCATATTTCATAATTTATTACCTAAGTGTTAATTCCTTTTTAAAAAAAATTAGTGTGTAATGTGTGGGTGCATGCTTATGTGGGTAAATGTGTATGTGTACACATGCATGTAGAGGTCAGAGGTCAACGTCGGATGGCATTCTTTGGGAGCTTTTTGAGTCAGGATCTCTCACTGGTATGGAGCTCATTGATGAGACTGGACTTGCTGGCCAGTGGACTGCAGGGATCCACCTGTTTCTATCTCCCAAGTTCTAGGTTACTATGCCTGCCGCCATGCTAAACTCCTTCCCTCTCTACCCTCTTTCCTGCCTCCTTTCTGTCTCTCCCTTGGAGTTGGGTAGGGAAAAAGAAGTGAATGTTAAAGTCTCATTGTAGAAACATTCATGTTACATGTCCATTTTTGCATGTGCTCTGGGGTCAAGCTTAGGTTCTCATGCTTGAGCAACAAGCACTGTATCTGCTGAGCTACCTCCCAAGCCCATAAATGTTGGTAACTTTTGGTATTTATTTGTGCCAGCATAGTGAGTCCTGTGGAAGAAGAATACCTGTAGTCTCTTACGTGTTTTGTTGCCTATATTTTTAACCTTTATCAAAATTACATATGTGAAGAATGTTGAAGGCAGACAGTGCTTCCAATACTCTAAGTGAGCTGAGCAGCAGTTCCCTGCCTCTTGTCTTCCCCTTGTTCTTGTTCTCTGATGCCATGTTCACATTCCTAAATGATGTTTCGATATTGTGTTCTTTTCTGGACCGTTACTTGGACAGGGTTGGTCGCTTGTGGATGTGAGAGCGGCACGTGCTCTATTGTTTGTGTCATGTTTGGATCACTGCTCAGTCAAGTGTAGTCTGCCTGCTTACACTGCCTTTGTGGTACACCTGTCCCCTGCAGCTGACAGTTGGCTTGTTCTGCTCTGTGCTGTTCTTAAACAGCTCCTGATCACGTCCTCCCCTGTCCTTTCATAGCAGTTTTCCATGAAGTCAGGCCTCGTAGGAAACTTACCCCGATCTTTAAGTGTTTTTCTCTTTAACCTGAAAATGTGTTCTCTGGTGTCCTTCTTGGCACCTCTGAGCTCTGCACTTGTTGAGGCTTCATCTCCAGATGTTTCTTGACTTTCTTGGAGTTTATTTAGGTTTCCTTCTGTTCTGTGGTGGAAATGTTCTGTGTATTGGTTACATACTCAGAACACCAGTCCTGTCTGCCGGATGGTGTCCAGTGCCTGTCATACCTGAGCCCATCTCTTTCTCTAGGTGACTGTCATTTCACAGCGAACTGTGACACTGCCCTTTCCTTCCCTTGGACTCAGTGAGTTTCTAGAAATATTCTTTGTAATTTTGGGCTAACCATGCTCTATACTCTGCTTTGAGAGTTCATTTTTCTTGTACCTTGTTCCTCCAATTGTCTTGTTTTTTGTTTTGTTTTTCTGACATTATCTCTTTTTTACTTTGTTCTGTTTCCTAGATTTTGTTACATTATTCCCCATCTCTTCAGCATATTCCCTTATGTCCTTATTTTGAATGCCTAGGAATTCTTTTTGGTTCCCTCTTACGCACCTTAGTTTTTAAAAGATGTTTATTTGTATATATGTATGTGTGTGTGCCTGCATGAGTTTATGTTTCCCATGTGCAGGTAACTATGGTGCTCAAAAGAGAATGTTGGGTCCCTGTGACTGGAGCTATAGGTAGCTGTGAGCTACCATGTGGATGCTCAGAACCAAATCTGGGTCCTCGGCAAGAACATTAAGTTCGCTTAACCACTGAGCCATCTCTCTAACTTCTTCCCAACAAACTCTCTCTCTTTCTCTCCCCTCCCCCCCCAGCTTTTAAATACCATCCCATTCTGGTTTTCTGAGTGTACTGTCTTCTGTCTCTTGGTATATTAGCTATAGTGTTTTTTTTTCAAATCTCTGCTTGAGGAGTACTCGAGTTTTAAAGCTGT